CATTTCATGTACAACATATACAGATGCTCTCCACTTATGAATTAATTACATTTCAAATGACTGTACCATGAATATGTTTGTAAAATGCTCTTTAAACAATGTTTGTGAACTATGACTTTAAAAACTACCCTACCATATAAACAATTAAAATACTGAAACGAATACATAATGCATTTTAAACACTGTACATTATAAGTAAAATATAAAAATAAAAAAAAGAACTCTGAATGCTTTCAGATTTTATATTATGCCCAAAGAGGTTCTTTAATGTTCCGTGTGTTATACTTTGCACTTAAACTATAAAATTCAATTCAGCAACAATATCACAAAATAATTTCAAAAGAGCATATCTTTAGAATTTCCAATATAGTCTTGCACAATGAGATAAATAGTACTCCCCATACAGTGCTGTCATTGCTCGCTTTGAAATCGTTGAGTTTCTTAATAAAAAAATCGAAAACAATCAAATCAAAATATGAAATAGATAATAAAACAAATTCCAAATTTGAGCTTCCAGATGCGTATATTCAAGTGGAGGACTACAAAATTTTGTCTGTAGGTACCATTGTTTTTTCACAATGCAAAAAACATACATACACCCATGCAGATTTTTCATTATATATTTTCTTCAAATATAATACAGAGCTATATTATTTGGTGGCAACAGTTTGAAAAGAGGGATGCCATTTTATAGTGGATGACGCAAAATGCCAAAATGAAATTAATAGCCCTTCAGAAGTAAAGCTTAAGAATTAATTAAAATTAAAGGAATTTATTAGCTTAAGAATTGAAGCTAGTAAATCTTTACATGGGTCAGATTTGACTCTACCTCTGAAAACTCATCATTCAGTAAAGTGAATATTTACGAAGAGGAGCCTGTAGGAGATGTGTAAGCGGTTGGCCCAGCAACACTAATTTCTAAAGCATCTTTCTAAAGATAATAAATGTCTATTTGAACAGGTTTTCTTTTTCTTTTGTCATAAATAAGAGCACAGTATTGTATGGGATCATACACAGCAGACTTATTAAAAAAATATATATACGAGGGCCATCCAGGAAGTAGATTACGTTTCCGTCTGTGTCCACTAGGGGCGGGGCTAGCGTGGCCATCTTGGGGTCAGAGCGTTGCGCAGCTCAGTCTGCATCTAGCCGTGCTAGTGAGAGGTTCGTGCTGTGCTCCGTTCAGATACTGTGACGGTTTGAAATGTCTGCGTTAATTGAAAATCCCGCGAGCTGCGCTCAGTAATAAGGTTTCTGACTGCAAAAAACTGTAAACCGATAGAAATCTATCGGCAGCTTCGTGAAGTGTATGGGGACAACATTATCACTGAAGGTGGAGTGCGTCAGTGGGTCATAAGATTTCAAAATGGCCGAACCAATGTTCACGACGAAGATCGAAGTGGGAAGACCCAGCATAGTGACCGCCGAACTTCTCGAAAAAGTCGATGCTAAAGTCCGTGAAAATCGAAATTTCACAATAACGGAACTTTCTTTGAGTTTTCCACAAATTTCGCGAAGTTTGTTGCACGAAATCATCAGCGAAAAGCTTGGTTACCACAAGTTTTGTGCAAGATGGATTCCAAAATCTTGACAGAGGACCACAAAAATCAGCGAATGGCTGCAGCGTTGAACTTTTTGGACGCTTACCATAAGGATGGTGATTCTTTACTCGATTGCATCGTTACTGGTGACGAAACATGGGTGAAACATGTGAACTGTGAAACGAAATTGCAATCAATGCATTTTGATGACGACGCACAGCTGCAAGAAGAGGTAACGAAGTGGTTGAAGGCGCAGGCGGCCGAATTTTTCGACGAAGGAATTTCCAAGCTCGTACATCGCTACGATAAATGCCTTAATTTGTATGGTGACTATGTAGAAAAGTAGTATTTGAGTGTGGCTTTCATCTGTATATAATAAAATTTGTTTCCTATACTTTGTTTATTTTTTTATTCCAAAACGTAATCTACTTTCTGGATAGCCCTCGTATATATCAGAATTCGGATCGGGTTTTCAAAAAAAGTGAAACCTTCATCAAATTTAGAAAATGCCACTACTGTAGTTCTTATAAAAATAAAACTAAGTGATAACAGGGTTTTCCATGGAGGTAGGAAGTAAGATGGAGTCGCCCTAAACAAGTTTCTCCCGTATCCTGCTCTGAAGCACCGGCGATCCCTACGTGGTGACCAAAACATTAGGTCATTTACCATTGAGTTCTATGGGATTTGACGCGTTCGGATGTAAATATTTTGTAATTACGTCGTAAATATACATATAAATGTATATATTTTCTTTTTCTACAACACTTCAGAGTCCTAAGTATGTGAAAACAACACATTTTTAAACAACATTTCATTCTGAACGGAATTAAATGCTATACTTTTCACAGGACAGTTTTCTCAGAATGGTTTAATTTGAATAAAATATTTTCACAAGTTTTCGTTAATTACATTAGAAAAAAAAGTTAAGGTAATTCGATTTTATTCGGTTAAGGTACAAAAATTAAGATCAAAGTTTATTGTATTATTAATATTAAAATTATGCATTATATCTTTTCTATTTATAGCGCTTCTTCCTAAAATACTTTCTTAAATATGACATGATTTTTTGGCTTCTGAGGCATCTTTTAAATCGAAAAATGTAAGTCAATTTATAATTAATGCTCTATTCGGTTCATTTTAAATTAGAGAATTATTAGGAATTAGCGAAAATTAAATAGGTATTAAATAGTATTTGACTTTCTCTGAACATTTCTAAAAGGGAATAAAATAAGTTTTTTTTTTTTTTTTTTTTTTTTAAAGTATTATTTAAAACTTGTAACTGAGTTATTATAAAATGTAAGGGGAATAATTCTTTTAATTATACTTATAAGATTTTTTTTCACCCTTCATTTCAACAATACATATTCCCAAACTCTTTATTACGTTCTTAAGTGTGCATCTCATAGCATTTGCGTTACAATACCTTTTAACAGATTGCTTTCCAATACGAATAATTCTTGCTTAAATAGTTTTATAATGTATTTGTCAACAGGACTTCAATTTATGTTTACAATTCAATATTAAGGTTATTATATATTTAGATAACATTTATAATCATTATAAATTAGATACATTTAATAATTGGATTTCTTCACAGTGCTTTCACAGTTGTTTATAAGTGAATAAATTCTTCATTTCAAATACATTTATAAATAATTTAATGAATATTTAAGTATTTTGTCAAAGGCAGATACATGCTTTTTGCAAGCACATGCATAAATACCCATACATATTTCCTATTTTTCATTTCCGGCATGTACAAATCTTTAATTTCTGTGCATTCACTATATTTTTCGTGTAAAGTAATTTACACTAATTTAGCATACATCCAAAAGTTTTACATAAAAAATATATATGAATATAATTTGAATGAAAATTATAAGTATTATTTTTACTACCCACTCAAAGGTCAGTTTTTCCTACAAAATTCATCCACGATGGCATCTCTCTCTTTAGGCAGATAGCCCTTGCATGCGTTACTCTATTTAATAAAAACTTAATCTGACCTATGTGCCTAATTACACATACATAATTTTACATTTTACATTAATACATTTTAACATACATAATTTTATATTTATAAAACGTGTAAGCCCAAAGTGATTATTTTTCAGATATATAAAATTAAAACGATGGGTTTAAAATGAGCAGCAGTAAAGCCTCTCCTCTAAAAAATTTTAAAAGGTACATGTTACAATAATATATGGATGTGAAAAAAATTTGTTTTAGTTAAAACATTTTGACGTTTGGAAAATAAAATAAAAAGTAGTAGCGAATACTCTATCAAGGGTATCGAAAGACGTATACAATTTTAAATGTACCGTAAGGTATTTTTTCATTCTTTAAGCATAACATTTTTCTTAAAATCTATATTTTTGTAGTGCAACAGCTTATAATTTTATAAAACAAATTCATAATCAAAATCGCTGTTGTTAGTTATCGAAAAATAACCAAGATGTGATTTTTGCGTATATGTCACTAAACTATACAAATTGCTATTATCCATCACACTATGAATGTTTCTTTCATGCGATAGTGTCCTTTTTTCGATTTCTATGGAACTGTCGTGTGTCGAAATACTATCAGAATCTTGTCAAGCGAGCTTCTGAACGTAAACAAAGAACACCCCATCTGGTGACCCAAGCTTCAAAGCAGTGCTTCACTTTTAGCGCGGGTTGGCCCCTCCTCCCTTTATGAGGTTTTCATTAGCGCTTAGGAGTACGTAACAAGTAAATATAAAATTTTTTAACCCTCTAAGCAGCAAGGCTGTATATATACGGCCTAGAAGATTTTTTGATATCTGTAAGAATGTATATATACGTGCATATTAAAATATGTCAAAAAAATTAAGCCAATATATCAAAAGTACACAAATCCAGGCATGTAATACCAGGAGAGTTTTTACATTAAAATTGAAAACATAATTTGTTCTCATAGTAGGTTTGGGAAATTTGTGCTTTCTTAGCTAAAACCCTGGCCACTCAGAGGGTTAAAACAGCAACATCTATTACGTTCCGTGGGTATATTTTCTTTTCAACTCTCAACAAACTTCTTTCTTTGAAAGTTGGTTTGTTTGTGCCTGTGAAAGCTCGTAAAATGGCTCGTAAAAAAGCTCGTAAATATATACATCTGTATTCATATATATTATATTCAGGACAACTCATGATATAAACTTTTAATAATAGCTTTAACTATTGGTGAAACTATATAAAAAATTAACTTTAAGATCAATATCTATTCTGTGCAAAATAATCTATTTAGGATCTCAAAGATTAATATACTGTTGAAAATAATTAATGAATAACACTTAAATAGTGTAAACCAATTGTGTTATAGCTTATCAAAATAAGAGAAAATACAAATTCGGAGCAAAAGAAAATCAAATGCATATCTAAATGCAAATTAGCGTCTCAAAAGAATAATGCTTAAAAGCATATTTGTCATAATTTTCTTAATGTTTTAATTCACAAAGAATACTAGGGATTCAACAAATTCCTTACTTGTAAATTTCATATTCTTTATTACATCAGAATTTATTTCATTATTTGTGTTAGCCACATAGTCTTGAACAGCATTCTCATCTTCAGTTTCAATTTCTTCTTTTATAGCAACAGAATAATTGAAAATATTAGCTGGGTTATTTTTTGAATTTAAATTTGAGAAACTCCAATTACTAGATCTATATTCATCTACATTTTTCGTTACTTTATTCTCTTCTTTGGTAATACCTGAGAGGAGGGAGAAATATATACATATCTAAAGATTTTTTTTAAAAATGTATAATTAACCCTTCAAACTCTAGCATTTTTGTTTCCTTCACAGCAAACTGGATATTTTAAATTTTTTATTCTTAGACAACAAATTATCCACTTTAAACTGAAAATTATAGGTGTGATTTAAAAGATATTTTTATAATGTTAATACATTATTTTTACAAGTAACCACTTTTATGATTACATCTATAAATATAAATCATTTGTAGCAACTTAAGAATGTGGTCTTTTTGAAGGATTTGATATCAATTATGTACGAAAAAACTTTTGCTGCACGTAACAAAGAGACTGGAGGGTAAAATTAAAGGAATAGCAATAAAACTCATGTAACCAGAATGATTTTACATTTAAGGATATGGAATATGCACAAAATCCTTATTTTGCCATGCACAACATATGTTCAGTATCTGGAACTGGCTATTACACTCGAACAAGAGGCAATTAGAACACGTGCGAGTTTATTTCATAGTATTTACATTCCAGATACTGAGCCTATGCCAACAATAAGAAGCAACATAAGAACACTAAATCCCAACAAAGCACCAGGACCAGATGGAATTGACAACAACATTACATATGTGCTGCGTGCAGCACAATATATTGCTAACTCAAAATATCATGTCCCCACATGGTGTTATTTCTGAAAGTTGAATAAGTCAAGTTTATATTGGATCATTTGGGCTAAAGTGCTAGAAAAGGATATTTTGCTCAGAATGAATTATTTCACCAACTATAATAGTACTCTTAATGCGTGGCACCATAGCTTCAGAGCAATGGCCATGTGCTAAAATAGGCTAATAGGCCATTTTTTAGAGCATCTATTGGGAATACCACACATCTTCCTCTAATTCTTTAAATGGGTAAAAATATATTTACAGGTGATCCTTGGCATAACTTTGCGATTTTTGTTGGTACATGGATACCGAGTTTGTGCAATTCTTTGACTCGTTATTTTAGCTTTGTGTAGCGATGATTTTTGAAGCAAAAAATCGTCCCCTACACAAAGCCAAAATAACAAATAAAAAAATTTCCCAAACTCAGTATCCATGTACACCTATTTTCACTTAAAAAAAATCAGAGAATTGCACAAACTTGGCATTGCGCACTCCCTTGACTTTGTACACATCAATCTATTTCCAATTAAAAAGTCAAAGGAGCAGCCAACACAAAATATATAATCTCAATAAACTACATTTTAAATCAAACAATCAAATAACATATAAAAGGAAATTCATTTTAGGAATACATAAAGGAAATATCCACTTACCTTATTTAGAAATTTCCCTGTCTTCAAACAAACAAAATTCCTTAATAGCATCCAAAAACTGCCTAAAATTATCTCAACTAGAATCTGTATACTGGTGTCGCCACATAAATTCACAAAGGTAAGAGTAAAAAATATCCTCGGCACTGCCAGTATCTTTCGGCGTTCGACCATACACATTTCCTTCTAACAAACAGGAAACTTAATAATGGCTACTTTTACTAAGTAAAGCTTCATTTATACACCAGTCAATTAATGCTCTTTTTCCCTTTCATCCCAAATCACATAGAAACTTAAAATTAATCTTAGTACATTCAGCCATTTTACCCTCTAAACCACAAAACAGCAATATACTTCCTAAACAATACACACCACAAGCTCTTACAAATCTTTTCCCATCATTCAAATTCACCGCAATCACACAACCAATTACGTCATAATAGGGATTCCATAGCATTCAACTAATCAGGTTACCATAAATAAAACAAAAAACTTCGCGATAATACAAGGGGCACCCTTAAATCTGCTCTAACCCTTTGAATGTGCTAGCTGGCTGCCCACACATCATCTCATGGTACAAAGAGAATGTCCAATTATTCAGACACTAAACATTAAAACAGAACACACTACTATGGAACTGTCACTAGAGATTAAAAGTCAAGAGTCGTGTTAACTCCCTGACACTTGGTAGAATTTAACATTAAGGCCAGACCATCGACTGTACCCAGAAATCAAGCTTTGTTTACAGATGGCTCCAAAGAGGTACAGGTGGCAGATCCAATGAAGTGGTATGGAATGATGTAATCCAGACCTGGTCACAAAGGCTAAGCTTAAACAACTGAGTCTTCCAAGTTGTGCTGGTTTCTGTCCAAGTAGCCAGAGCTTAAATTGTGCCGGAGCCCACTGGAGCACAGCTCCAGTACTTCTTAGTTTTTGGGATAAATCATAATTCTAGCTGGAGCCCTAAATAAGAAGGCTCCGGCACTTCGTTTATATAACTGAACAACAATTTCAGTAGAAATTTGATCTAGAAAATGTTATTTTTTGAAATAAAATTATATTACAAATCGCTTATTAAATTTTAATTTATCTCTTTACTTTTTATTTAATTTTTATTTTCATTATTTAACTATTTTAATAATAATAATTAATTAAATACTTATTAATTTGGTAATAATTAAATATTTAATTTTTAAATTATTAATGATTTTAATAGCCATTTTATTTATTTATTTACTTTTGTTCCTCTTTGCTGACGGTCTTCCATAGGGATCCGGGACTTCCAATTTTGCATTCAAACAGTCTCTGACAACATATAGCAATATAGCTTCCAGCCGGCACATCATTCAGGGACAACAATGCAAAATTCAACTAGTAAAAATATTCAGACTATTATTCTTCAAGCCTAAAGATGCAAGGCTGAAACTCCAGTGGATTTTCACACATACTAGAGTTTTTGGTAATGAAACAGCAACAAATGCAGCTTTGGATTCGAACATAAGAATCATAATCATACAACTACTTCCAAACTCGCACATTAAGATAGCAACAACTGTCAGCTAATGGAACAGAGGCAGAACAGCTGGAATGAAGACTGAACTGGCAGAAGAGTGTTCAATAGTTTCGTAGACTAAATATGAAGCTCAATAGTGAAACATGTATAGGTAGAAGATAAGTAAACAGTTCGTGCTGTCACATTTAATCGCATTTTGTCAAATGATTTTCGGCATTTGAAAGAAAGAGACTTGCTTTAGAGCTCTGTGTTCTACAATTTGTAAAAAAAATATCATTATCATTAAGAACAAGGTGTCTGAAATGGAACTATCATGCTACGAGATTAGAACCAGTTCCAGTTCTAATGCAAAAAATCAGCTACAGAATGCCACCAAATCATTTGTACAGCTGTAGGAACTAATGTTGTACCATATGACACTGTGAAGATTTGGTATCAAAAGTTCAAAAACAAGGACTATGACATTAAAGAAGCAGAATGCTCTGGCTGCCCTAATGATATTGATGAAGCCTGTCTGGGAGAAGTTCTGGAAAAAAATCAGTATGCAACCACTCGAGAGCTTGCTAACATTACATTAGCCCTATACATTAGTTGCGCTATGCATTGCATAAACTTCAGTCGCTGGGTGTCACATAAGTTGACTCAAGCAGATAAAGACAGACATGTTAGGGTCTGCACTAATCTGCTCAAATATCAATGCAAGGACAAAATTCTGGAGCAGACCATCACTTGTGATGAAAAGTGGATTTACTTCAAGAACACAGGCAGAAAAAGGGGTTGGTCTGCACCCGATGGAACCTGTTGGCAGTGTCGCAAAGTGCAATTTGATTAACAAAACGATCATGCTTTGTACTCGTATCTGGTGGGATTGTCGTGGTATTTATCCACAAAGAGTATATGGAAAAATGTAAAACCCTCGACAGTAAGGTGTGCAGTGAGATGCTAGTCCACGTTGACACATGTTGTTGTACTATTATTACTGATCTTTAATTAGTAATTTGAATAACTTAAACTCAGTCTTATTGAGCAGCCTTTTCAGTCTTGATTCTTACTTCAGGAAAAGACGAAAAACTTTATATCTATTAATTAGTTATGTGATCAGAAATCAGTTTGTTTCCCTCCAAATGTCAACTAATTTCTAGTCAATAACGATAATTACTTAGTTTGCTGGTTGCACTTAGGTTTTTTTAAATTTTAATTACTCAATTTTAAATACACCAATGACTAAATTCATTACAATAGAATTCTAAATTGACTACTTTATTTTCCAAGGAGATAATACATTCAATAACCCACTAGTAAAATAATAATAATAATAATATATACATGCATACATACACACATGATTGTGATGTTTCATTATTACATTACTTACAGTGGTTATTTGTATTGGTAATTTGTGTATTACATTCTCCACATTGGAATACTTATGTTTATGTTTTATCAATGTCACAATACAATATTTTCATTTCTTATATCATTAAATATCTCCCCAACAGGCATATATTTACTGTGTTCACTTTTTTCATAGATCTAGAGTTTACAAATACGGTAGCTAGGTTCAAATCATTGGTGCTCAATATGCATAATTAAGTACACCTGGAGATTCATCTACTTTAAATTTAGTAATTGTAGGGCTAAATCTACTTTAGATTCACATTAAATTAGATTTAGCCTTGGCTGCAAGCTGAAGAAATGCTAGCAAGTCTGATGGAAGGATGCAGGTTATCTCACACATGCAATTCAAGTTATGACAAATCCAATAATTAGAACAGAGGGAAGAAAGCACTGAAGTAAGTTTCTAGAAAGGCTACAAAGAAAAATGCTACTTTATACAGAGGAGACAAACTTTCACTACTTTCTTTTAATTCAGGATTTAAAATAAGAATGATACTGTGATAATTATTTCTGTTAATAAATGAAATATCTCATTTGTACTGACTCCTTGCAATTATTAGACTGCTAGGTCTGTAATAATTCTTCGCATAAAAAGTAGATTAACATCCTCCGAATCCAGCTCCTAAAGTTATGCTACATAAAAAGACATTTCGCCTCTGCACGTGCCTGTAATTATAACTGACTGATATCCAGGCAAAAACAGACACTTAATAACAAGCCCAAAAAAGTGGTAAGGAGTCAACAGGGTACAAAAATCTGCACATTTTGCTTATTTTACTTAGACACTGCCAAGACTAGCATCAAAATCTTTAACTAAAGCTAAATTTTTGTTTACAAGCAAAAATAATTAAATTCCCAAAGCAATCCTAACCTTACATGTAGTAAAGTCCCATAAAACAGTGGTATTTAAATAACACAAAATATAGATTTGAAAATACAAACTAGAGAAATTTAACTGCAATCATAGAATGTCATCCCTAACTTAAGTGCATATTTGACATAATTTTCCTATTATTTTATTTCAGAGAGAATAATCAAGATACAATCAAATCCTTACCTATGAACTTCCTCTTCCTTAGAAGAACAGAATTCGTTTGTACATTTGTCTTAGGCATGCAGACCTGAACAGCATCCTCATCTTCAGTTTCTACTTCTTGTTTCACCACAAGAGAAACATTCAGAATATTTGTTGGGTCATTTTTTGAACCTATATTAAAAAAGGCTCAAGTTATTAGATTTATTTAAAACCAAAATCAGAAATAATAAAAAAAATGCGCATTTAACGAATGCATTTTTAACTATTACTTAATAATACCTATTGATGAAGAATGTTTTTCGAAGGATTTGATGCCATTCACAAATATAAAAAATGCTCCATTCTGATAATCTGTATCTCCAATGAAAAATTACAAAAAAAGTAATCCTGAGGAAAGCAGTACGTGAACAAAGCATGGACAAGAAAGGGAACGCTTCCGAGGGTGTCAAGTTTCTGCAATTCTCTGATACTTTTTAAGCGAAATAAATTGCGGCCAATTTGAAGAAAACAAAACTACAGAAAAGATTTCTCAAAAAATGCAAGTACTTTAACCCATGTTCCATGGTTTTTAATTTTATTGATTTGCCTTTGTATAAAATTCCTAATGTGACAGCATTTTGAAAATCACAGTCACTATTTGTGCAATATCTTGAATTAGAAAACAGCATGTTCGTAAATGTTTTCCAAAAGAGCTGGCAATTGGTTTTGACTTTTTCGTAAAGGTGATAATGAAAAATAACTACAAAATGTCTGCAAAACATAATATGCTGAGAGGAAAGTAAAAAAAAAAAAAAATTATAAATACACATGTACCTTAAATGATTTTGCAGCTAACAAAATATGGAATTTTCATATTATGTTCATCTTGTCATGATTCCATATTAAAAAAATTATTTCTCTACAAAATAAATTATTTTATATAAAAGTGAGTGTTTCTTTGTCGTACAGACAATAGAAACTTACTAACAACCCTGACTTATCCGATTTTCAAACCTGAGCCAGTCAATATGGTAATCAGAATGAATAATAACTATACAACCTCGGATGCCACCTAAAGAGTAGTAAGTGAAGGCTGCAGTGATGCTAGTTGGTGTGCTACTGCATCTTACAGATGTTGCACTTTTTGTAACTGCAGACTATATTTTACCATCCCACTTGCACTTATAAAATGTGTATGTCACCACAACCATTTAAAAGGATGCCTGCCCAGATAATGATTCCAGCACTTTTGTAATAACTGTCGTTCATATTTTCAGGTTTGTGGTACATGGTTCGATCTCTCTAGCAGATGTAAAATCCCTCTGCAAACAAAAATGAGTCTTATCAGTGAAAAGAACTCCAGTAACAATAATCTGTGTACTATTGGAACTGGGGGAATTTTGCAGTCTTACGTTAGGACACAAATGGCCTTTATTTGCATAAGCTTTTCTTTCTGCAACCTGTCTTTCATGATATGTCTGGGATAGTCAAGTTAATAATATACCTGCATTCAATTCCCTTGTAATAGGGATGAAGACAGTTCATTATTTCTTTAAACAATGCTTGCCAATTAACAGTCCTGAAAGCACATTTTAGGACAGTTTTGACCTTAACCTAGTTATCTACATAAATTGCCAGAATCTTTCAGCCATTTACATATTCTTCATATGATGCTTTTTGTTACTCTCAGGTCTACAGATCTGTGTCAGCATATTTCCTAATCCCTTTCTTAAAATTACAAGCTCATTCTGATAAATCATCATATGTTTTTTCCACAGCATGCACATCTACCACGTACAAAAAATCATAGTTTGGTTATACAAAATAATTACTTTGCGTATGTTCTTAATGATGAATAAGAGGATTATAGTAAAACAACTTGTCTTTGGTATAAGTGCTATGACACTGAATGCTATATTTTTTAATATTGTTACAAATTTGGTGTTTAAAAAGCTAATGTTAGTTCAATTATAAATTTGATTTTGAATGCCAATCACAAGAGCGATGGAAGAGCAGTTAAGACAGCTGATATCAGCCTTTGCTGCATTTAAGGAAGAAATGAAATTGGGCCAAGATTGGTCAGGAAAAGTTAAGCAGCTCAGGGAGATGGAGATCCGTTAAAAAGGAAAATGGAAGCCGTTCACGAAAAGTTGGAAGCTGGTCAAGTAACTTTTAAACCAAAGGCTACATAAAAGCTGTACAAGAAAAGATTGAAGCAGGTCAAGACGAAATGAAAAGAGAAATAACCTGCGTAATAGAAAGTAAATTTGAGGCTATGGAAGACAGAATAGGAGCTGTCGAAAATAAAGTCGGGCAAATTGAAGAAAAGGTTTCTTCTGTCAAAGATGAAATAGAAGATAGAGTGTCGGCTGTGGAGCAACGAGTCGAAGGAAGAGTTTCGGCCTTCCAAGAACAAATTGAAGAAAGAGTTTCTGCCGTCGAACAACAAATTGATGATAGGGTTTTTGCTGCCGTCGCCAAAGAGGTTGACAGCCTAAAGAAGTGCATAGCGACGGTAGGAAACAATTCTGAAGGTTTCAAATTTTTATCGATGCCTGCTCGTTCCGTTCTGAAACTATCTACATATGATGGAAAGACCTCCTGGCAGGTGTATAGGACACAATTTTCTATCGTTGTGGATGCGAATGGATGGGATTCCCAAGCTAAGGCCTGTCATCTCGCCGCTTCTCTGAGAGCAGACGCAGCGGATATCCTGCAGACGCTTCCCGAATTCAAAGGCTAGATTTTGATTTTATCCGGCGCTTTGGAGCTGCGCTTCGGCGAGAAATGTTTAAAAGACTACAGCAGGCTCCAATTAAAATCTCGTCAACAGAAGCTCACCGAAACGCTTCAGGAGCTCGCCACGGATGTTGAAAGACTGTCACATCACGCCTTTTAGGAGTGCCCGACAGAAACAAGGGAAATCCTGTCCCTGCAATATTTCATCGATGGCATCCGGGACCCTGAAATACAGAAAGCACTGCGAATGGCAGATGTTAAAGATCTGAAAAGCGCTTTAGTGTATGCCATGAAATTTGAGGCAGCCCAGCAAGCCACCCGTCGAGACCGCCATCCAGTCAGAGCTGCTCAAGTCCAGGAGCCAGGGGATCAAGTCACTGCTCGTCTAGACGATTTAACTAGACAACTGAACACCTTGAGACAGAATATTGGTGACAAGAAACCGACCGTAAAGTGCTGGAACTGCGGTGCTGAAGGACACATACGACGAAACTGCAGAACACCCCAGGGCACGGATGCTAAGACCGCTCCTAACAAACAGCAGGGAAACTAATTAGTGGCCATCTCGCGGGGGGGGGTGGAGGTTGCCAGATCATGAAAAGCCCCAGTTTAAAGCACTTCAGATTTCTGCAGTGAGAGGCGGCAGTAATGGACTTTTCATAATAGGACATATTAATGGAGTTCCCTGCAATATGACGATAGATACAGGAGCCAAACGTTACCATCATCCGAAGAGATTTGGCTCAACAACTGGGAAGCAAACTTATCTGGACGCCGCCCTGCGTTACCCTACAGACTGTGTCCGGTGAGAAGATCAACATCGATGGAAAAGTAAATGCTAACATCACGTTTGGAAGTGCCGCTTACCATAACACGGCATATGTAGCAGAGATCACTGATTCTTGCATACTCGGATTGGACTTTCTAAGGAAATACAATTTTTCCTTGGACTTTAAAAATAACGAATTGCATTCTACATCTGAGGACATAGCGTTATTTGAATAGCGAGTCAATGATGAAGTTAAATCTGTCCATAAAATCATAGCACAAGACAATATCACAATACCGGCAAGAACAGAAATTTTACTTCCTGGATCCATAGCCAAAAACAGAAATTTCCGCTACGGCATCATAGAATATCCCAATAACTGTAATAGCCCAAAAGGAGTACTAGTAGCCTCAACACTCGTCGACCTATCCAGAACGGTTATCCCGGTGAGAGTCGCCAATGTAACTGAGAAGGGGAGAATTATTAAGAAAGGTGAAGTGGTTGCAGCATGTACTCCAGTAACCACCGTTGAAAGAGTAACATCCAAGAATCCGTGTCCTCAGAGAGAATTACATCGGAGTTATTGCAGAATGCGCAATTAAACTATAAAGAGAGGAATGCTGCCGATCACGTCATTAAAGATCTTCAAGTTGTTTTCTCCCGCTCGTCTTCTGACGTGGGTTGAACTAGTTTGACACAACATAGAATAGATACCGGCGATCATTCCCCGATCAAGCAACATCCAAGACGTCTACCGTTTGCTAAACAGGAAGAGGTGCGAACACTGTTAAAAGATATGGAAGAAAGCGATGTCATCGAGCCTTCAGTAAGTCCATGGGCATCTCCCATCGTCCTAGTCAGAAAGAAAGACGGCTCAACAAGATTTTACGTCGACTATCGCCGGTTGAATGAGGTTACGAAGAAAGACAGTTACCCTCTTCCTAGAATTGATGACATTCTAGACACTCTTTCTGGAAGCAAGTGGTTCTCAACACTTGATTTAAAGAGTGGGTATTGGCAGGTAGAAATACAGCCTGAAGACCGAGAAAAGACGACATTTACTACGGGACAAGGGCTTTGGCAATTCAAGGTGATGCCGTTTGGACCGTGTAATGCGCCGGAAACATTCAAACGTCTTATGGAAACTGTTTTGAAAGGCCTTTTCTACGAAGCCTGCCTCATATACCTGGACGACATCATCATCGTCGGAAAGAGTTTTGAAGAACATTTAGAAAATCTTAGGAAGGTGCTTCAGAAACTGAAAGAAGCCAATCTGAAGCTGAGTCCCGCTAAATGCAAATTGTTCCGAAAGGAAGTGACTTACCTGGGACATGTCATCTCTGCAGAAGGTGTGCGCACGGATCCTGAAAAGGTATCAGCCATTAAATCCTGGAAACATCCCGAAAATGTCCATCAGCTGAGAAGCTTCCTAGGGCTTTACACCTACTATAGGAAATTCGTGAAGGACTTTTCTTCCATCGCAAGACCCCTACACAAGCTGATAGAGAGCAACCAGAAGTTCTTGTGGACAAAAGAATGCGAGGATGCATTTAACAACTTAAAGGAGGCTTTAACATCTGCTCCAATCCTGACGTATCCTCAGCTTGACGGACCATTTATTCTCGACACCGACGCGAGTAATGAAAGTGTTGGTGCTGTTTTGTCCCAAGAAATAGATGGCCAAGAACGTGTAGTGGCATACTGGAGCAAGTGCCTGTCTAAACCGGAGAGGAATTATTGTGTCACCAGGAAAGAGTTGCTCGCCATAGTCAAAGCTGTAGAACAGTTCCATCACTTCTATACGGCAGAAAATTCCTGCTCCGCACCGATCATGCATCATTGACCTGGCTTTTAAATTTCAAGAATCCTGAGGGTCAAATAACCAGGTGGATACAGAGACTCCAAGAATATGACATCACTATCCGTCATCGTAAGGGATCATCAAACGGAAACACCAACGCCCTGTCAAGAAGACCTTGCCAAGAAAGCTGCCGATATTGTTCCAGGGTGGAAGCGAAATACGAGCTGCTGACTCTGGTCGCAAGACAAATTACAACATCAACATTGGCTGATCGAGAACCGTGGAGTGATGATGAAGTCAGGAAAGAGCAGCTGGAAGACCACGACATTAAACCCATAATTGATTTAATGGAGTCATCAAACAGAAAACCTACCTGGCAGGACATTTCTATCTGTAGTCCTACAACCAAACAATATTGGGCACTCTGGGATTCACTTCACATTCGAAACGGCGTCTTATACCGGAAATTCGAATCGGATGATGGGAAGACGTTCCGATGGCAACTTATACTTCCAAGATCCCGCATTCCTGATGTCCTTAAAGAGTTACATAGCACCCCTACTGGAGGTCACTTTGGAATAATGAAGACCTTGCAGAGAGTTCGTGAGCGCTTTTACTGGAATAATGCAAAGGATGATGTGCAAAAGTGGTGCCGATCTTGCGATGCCTGTGCAGGTCGGAAAGGATTGAAGAGACGCAGCCGAGGCAAGCTGCAACGTTACAACGTAGGGGCGCCTTTTGAACGTATCGCCTTTGACATCCTGGGACCTCTGCCACGAACTGCTGATGGCAACAAATACATACTCGTTGTCATTGATTACTTCACTAAGTGGCCTGAAGCTTATCCTATTCCTGATCAAGAGGCTGTCACAGTAACTGAGGTAATGATACAGCACTGGATTTCCAGGTTCGGAGTGCCTCTTCAGTTACATTCCGATTAGGGAAGGAATTTTGCCTCGGCAGTAATCAAAGAACTATGCAAACTACTCGGCAATTGACAAAACTCAAACGACGCCATTGCATCCCCAGTCGGACGGCATGGTAGAGAGGTTCAATCGAACCATCCTTAATAACCTCTCGTTAGTGGTTTCCAGAAACCAACAGGACTGGGACAAGAAATTACCACTCTTTTTACTGGCTTACCGCAGTGCAGTCCACGAGACTACCGGCTATTCTCCATCACAGATGCTCTTCGGTCGTGACCTTCGTCTGTCTTGTGATCTATTGTTTGGCCGCCCTCCGGATGCTCCTTCATCGTCTGAGGAATATATTCAAGATCTCCAGGCCCGGTTTGAAGTGATGCACAACTTTGCACGAGAGCGAGTCAACTTGGCGACGGAGAAGATGAAGACCCGATACGACACAAGAGCTACTGAACATCAGTTCCACGAAGGAGACAAGGTGTGGTTGTGGAATCCGACTCGACGGAAAGGACTTTGTCCGAAATTACAGTCACCTTGGGATGGCCCGTATACAGTCCTAAAAAGACTGAATGACGTCGTGGTTCGGATTCGTAAGTCTTCGAACTCTAAACCTAAAGTCGTTCATTACGACAAGTTAGCTCATTACTATGGCCATAGTACATAATGTAAATAATTGTAAATAGTATTGTAAACAGATAAGACCATGGTCCTTTTTGTTTATAAATGTTGTATTTGTTTGATTTGTATTTGTATTTGATTTGCATTTAGTATTGATTTGTATTTAGTATTTGATTTGTATTTAGTATTTGTTTTGTATTTAGTATTTGATAGCATTTGATTTGTTTAAGTTAGTTATTGCATTTATTGTTTATATTGTTTGATATTGTAATGTAATGTTTATGCTTCAGTTGCATTTATTGCCACAGTTGTAAGTTTAGCTACCTGTCCAGGGATTGTACTGCCCGGGACGCGCAGTCCTTGGGTAAAGGGGCAGTGTTACGAATTTTTGTATTTAAAAAGCTAATTTAGTTCAAATTAGAAATTATGAAAATGGTTTTATTTATCGCGCAGTGCAGTGCGTGACGAACTATTAAACAGAAAGCTAAGCCGGAAAAATTAAAAATACAAGAGCGCGTGCGTTAAATAAATAAATATCTCTTTTTGATTTCGAGAAAGTGCTGGAAAATTCTAGCGCGTGATTTTAAAATCTTATAAAAGGAGGAAAACATCTCAGTTTGTAGTAGTTGCTTAGTTTGTTGTTGTTTAGAAAAACTACTGTTGTTGATTGTAGCAAATTTGCGGATTAGCGTTCTTTAGCTGTTTTGAATTACGTTCTATTGGACATTTGAGTAGTTAAAAGATAACTACTGTGAGATATTGTGATACTGCATGATAATTTGAGAAAATTTAAGCATTTCTGTTGTGATAATAATAAATTTTTGTTCATTTTTCATCGGACTTGTGCATTCATTTCATAACGAACCCGTACGCACGCAACAATATTTTATCATCAGAACTTAGAAACTATCACATCCTCGTGAACGGTAGAGGAGCGGGGATCTTCTCCAGAGAGTACATTTAACAGGCTTGCCGCCAAGCAGTGTGTGGCTTCCTATTACGGGTCACTTCAACAGATGTTCGTGGTACATATAAAGATCCTGCTTGCAATGATGTACTCGGCAGTGGGTATGCTGCTTTGGTTTAATGATGTTGAATAAGATTGTATCAAAGTGAGAGGTCTGAATGAGTTTTACAACTCATGTAAAGGACGTACTATGCATCTTGTGGTTGGATATATAAAACGACAGAAGAAACTATTATGCTTTTAGGAAGGAAAAATGAAAAAGAAGCAGGGCACTTATCAGAAATTAAATAACATAGCTTCCACCTGCTGACTTAAATTGTAAGGGTTCAACATTCTTTAATAAATCAAATTGTTCTTTTTGCTTGTTCTCTCACTTCTGAATATATCAGATTGCATTTCACGTTAAATTAGTTAATGCATGCAAGTGCAGAGTTCTTCACTTCAAAACATTTTCATTGCCTTAAATGGCTCTCCTGAAACTATTTCCTCGACGAATCTGATTTAGCTCTGCTAGCAATGTTTGCTCACAGAGCCAAATCTTGTTGGCAGGTTTTATCTTTTAAATCTCAAACCTGAAATGTTTAAATTTTTCACAATTAAAATCAGTGATTCTGCTAATCACTTCTGCAACATGTGAAAGTGAAACTATTCTTTCAATAGACAGATTAAAGAAATCGAAAACTGTCTGAAGAATCTATTTTTTGGTTCATTTTGGTTTGGTAAATGGTTCATTTTAAACCATCTGTGTTTAGTTTTCACTGTAAACTTAAGACTTAGACAATAACTCACCTGACTTTCTACACAGAGCTAGAGTTTACAAATAAGGTAGTTGGTTTCAAATCATTGGTGCTCAATACGCATAATTAAGTACACCTGGGGATTCATCTATTTTAAATTTAGCAATTGTAGGGCTAAATCTACTTTAGATTCACATTAAATTAGATTTAGCCTTGGCTGCAAGCTGAAGAAATGCTAGCAAGTCTGATGGAAGGATGCAGGTTATCTCACACATGCAATTCAAGTTATGACAAATCCAATAATTAGAACAGAGGGAAGAAAGCACTGAAGTAAGTTTCTAGAAAGGCTACAAAGAAAAATGCTACTTTATACAGAGGAGACAAACTTTCACTACTTTCACTTAATTCAGGATTTAAAATAAGAATGATACTGTGATAATTATTTCTGTTAATAAATGAAATATCTCATTTGTACTGACTCCTTGCAATTATTAGACTGCTAGGTCTGTAATAATTCTTCGCATAAAAAGTAGATTAACATCCTCCGAATCCAGCTCCTAAAGTTATGCTACATAAAAAGACATTTCACCTCTGCACGTGGCTGTAATTATAATGACTGATATCCAGGCAAAACAGACACTTAAAACAAGCCCAAAAAGTGGAAAAGTCAACAGGTACAATAATCTGCACATTTGCTTATTTTACTTAGACATGCCAAGACTGCATCAAAATCTTTACGAAAGCTAAATTTTGGTTTACAAGCAAAAATAATTAAATTCCCAAAGCAATCCTAACCTTACATTAGTAAAGTCCCATAAAACAGTGGTATTTAATAACACAAAATATAGATTTGAAAATACAAACTAGAGAAATTTAACTGCAATCATAGAATTCATCCCTAACTTAGTGCATATTGGACATAATTTCCTATATTTATTTCAGAGAGAATAATCAAGATACAATAAATCCTTACCTATGAACTTCCTCTTCCTTAGAAGAACAGAATTCGTTGTACATTTGTCTAGGCATGCAGACCTGAACAGCATCCCATCTTCAGTTTCTACTTCTTGTTCACCACAAGAGAACATTAGAATATTTGTGGGTCATTTTTTGAACCTATATTAAAAAGGCTCAAGTTATTAGATTTATTTAAAACCAAAATCAGAAATAATAAAAAAAAGGCGCATTTAACGAATGCATTTTAACTATTAATTAATAATATATTGATGAAGAATGTTTTTCGAAGGATTTGATGCATTCACAATATAAAAAATGCTCCATTCTGATAATCTGTATCTCCAATGAAAAAATTACAAAAAAAGTAATCCTGAGGAAGCAGTACGTGAACAAAGCATGGACAGAAAGGGAACGCTTCCGAGGGTGCAAGTTTCTGCAATTCTCTGATACTTTTTAAGCGAAATAAATTGCGGCCAATTTGA